ATGCCCATGAGTTCAATCTCCAGTACCAAAAAATAAATAAGTAAATAAAAAATAAATAAATAAAATAAAACAGGACTAGGAGTGTAGCTCCGTGGCAGAGTACTTGCCCAGCATGTGCAAGGCCCTGGGTCCAGGCACCAGTACTGCAGTAGTAAATAAATAAAAATAAAAGGTAGAATGAGGGAGTAGGGAAAGGGAACCTAGGGGATTTGAACAGTCAGGGAAATGAAAAATGGCAAAGTCTTGGTCAATGCTGATGCTGGGAGGCCAGCCCTGTGTCCATAAGGGTGGAGTCAGGATTCCAGCCTCCGGTGGCCTCTGCGGATCACATTTCAGAGGAGCAGCTCTCTGGTTCTTGAGAATGCCTCTCCTGAGTTGTAGGAGATAGATTCACATTTATAAAGGCACAGAGGAAGGATTCACCATCATAAACCCTTTCAGTAAGTGCTCCAAGGGTCTTGCGGAGCAGGGGTTCTGGTGCCAGGTGTTGTCGAGGAAAAACTCAAGTTCTTTTGGCAGCCTTGAGCTTTCCTACGGGCGGGCAGTTAAAGGGATCTAAGGTTGGCTGTCCTAGGGATGCGACCTTGAGATGTTAGACACTATGTTAATGTTTGTCAGGGAGGGGAGTGAATAAAATCATGTGGGTTAAGAGTCAGTAGTTTTTTGTTTTGGTTTTTTTAGTTGTAGTTGGACACAATGTCTTTATTTTACTTCTTTATTTTTATGTAGTGCTGAGGATTGAACCCAGGGCCTCCACGCTGGGGAGCGCTCTACCCCTGAGCCACAATCCCAGCCCAAGAGTCTGTTGTTTTTATAGACCAAGGTTGAGGCCCTGTCAGGAAGAGGCAGAGCATAGCAAGCTGGCTTGTCTCTCCTGGAGCCCAGACTCTGAACTAGAAAGGAAGCAGCTGGGACTGATCTGTCACACTGATGGCAAAGCCCTTGGGAGAACAGCCCCCAGGCCATCCCGTGTGTGTGTTCCTTCTGAGGCCAGGAGTTCCAGCTGGTCCTCATTCTGGGAGCCCAGCTGCACTCCAGGGTGGGTCTCTGCTGCCTGCACCTGAAACATCTGAACCAAGCCAGAGTTCAGACTGAGCTCTGTCTTCGTGGAGCTTGTATCTTACTGGGGCAGAGATAAGAAGAAATCAGGAGCTGGGGTGTGGCTCGTTGATAGAGCCCTTGCCTACCATGCACAAAGTCCTGGGTTCCATCTTCAGCACCACAGAAATGGAAAAAAAAAAAAAAGTGGCTGGGGGCATCCAGTGGGTCTAGTTTGATGATCCTGGCCTGGGCCCCCTTAGCCCTCTTGCATGAAGGTTGTATTTTTTTTTTTTTTTTGAGAGAGAGAGAGAGAGAGAGAGAGAAATTTTAATATTTATTTTTTAGTTTTCGGTGGACACAACATCTTTATTTGTATGTGGTGCTGAGGATCGAACTCGGGCCGCACACATGCCAGGCGAGCGCGCTACCGCTTGAGCCACATCCCCAGCCCGAAGGTTGTATTCTTGAACATCTTTTGCTTGCTATTGAACTTCATATAGAAATTTGTACTGATTCTGATTCCCAGGGGAGATCACATTTCTCATGGAGCTCTGCAAAATTACTCTCTGGTTGAGACATTAATCTTCTTTTGAAGAAGTGGGTCATGTTTGAGGACCCCAACTGGAAAAATATAATTTCTTTACCAGTGAAACATCAGATTTGACCCTGAGTTGTAGCAAATATTCCAAAGCTGGCTTTGGATGTGTCTCCCCCAAAATTCATGTGTTGAAATTTAGCTTCTTTGGTGGTGGTATTAAGAAGTGGGACCCTGGGAAAGTGATTAAATCATGGGGGCTCCACTCTCATGAATTGGATTAGTACCTTGTAAAAGGGCTGGAGGCAACTAGGTTAGCCCCTTTGCCCTTCTGCTCTGATCTGCCCTGTGAGGACAGGAGGGCATAACATTCCTCCTCTCTGGAGGATTCAAGGCATCATCTTGGAAGCAGAGAGCAGCTTCCATCAGATACCAGTCTTCTTGCTGCCATCTTGATCTTGGACTTCCCAGCCTCCAGAACTGAGAAATAAAATTCTGTTCTTATTTATTTAAAAAAAATTAATTGAACATGGATACAATACCTTTGTTTTACTTATTTTTTTAAGACTTTCTTTTTTGGTTGCATATGGATACAATACCTTTATTTTGTTTATTTTTATGTGGTGCTGAGGATTAAACCCAGTGCCTCACACATGCTAGGCTAGCGCTCTACCACTGAGCCACAACCCTAGCTCCTATTTGTTTTTTTAGGTGGGGTCTTGCTCTGTTGTCCAGGCTGCATCAAACTCCTGGGCTCAAGTGATCCTCCTTCCTCAGCCTTCATAGTAGCTGGGATACTGGCACGGGTCACTGCTCAGCCCCTTCCTTCCTTCTTTCCTTCCTTCCTTCCTTGTACTGGGGAGGGGAGCCAGGGACACTGTATCACTGAGCCACATGCCCAGCCCATTTTATTTTTTATTTTGAGACAGGGTCTTGCTAACTTTCTGAGGTTGGCTTCAGAGTCCTCCTGCCTCAGTCTCTTGAGTTGCTGGGATGATAGGTGTGCACGCCACCGTGCCCCGATTTTTTGTTTTGTACTGGAGACTGAACTCAAGGATGCTTTGCCACTAAATTATATCTCCAGCCCCTTTTTTTTTTTTTTTTTTTTTTGAGACAGGGTCTCAAGAAAGTTGCTGAGATGAGGCTCAAACTTGTGAGCCTCCTGCCTCAGCCTCCCAAATTGCTGAGATTACAGGTGTGCGCCACAGCATCCAGCCTCAATATCTATTCTTTAGAGCTTACCAGTCTCATGTTTTGTTATAGCAGCCCAGACACTCCCCTGTTTTCCACTCATCCAGCAAGTGTTTTTTAAAAAATATTTATTATTTTTTAGTTGTAGCTGGACACAATATCTTTTATTTTATTTTTATGTTGTGCTGAGGATTGAACCCAGGGCCTCACACATGCTAGATGAGCACTCTACTGCTGAGCCACAATCCCAGCCCAAATTTTGTTTTAATATTTGGTAGTTGTAGATGGATACATTTATTTACGTATGGATACAATACATTTATATATGTATTGTATACACAATACAATTTATTTATTAATTTTATGTGGTGCTGAGAATTGAACTCAGTGCCTCAAATGTGCTAGGCAAGTGCTCTACCACTGAACTATAACCCTAGCCCATCCAGCAAGATTTTTTTTTTTAATTTATAATTGTAGATGGACAGAATGCCTTTATTTTATTTATTTATTTTTGATTTGGTGCTGAGGATCGAACCCAGTGCTCATGCATGCTAGACGAGTGCTCTGCCACTGAGCTACAGCCCCAGCCCCCAATCCAGCAAATTTTAAATGAGCATCCCCATGTGCAGGGTTCTGGGCTGTGCCACAGCAGAGCCTTAACGTTGCCTGTTGCTTGCATTTCAGCACAAGACGCAAAGTAACTTCAGCCCCATGAAGTCACAGGCACTGTGATGGGGTGTGCAGGAAATAGTAGGTGCTGGGGCTGGGGGGCCGGGGGAGGGGTGCCTGGCGTATCTGGGGAAGTTGTGTTTCCCTCCTCTACTGTGGCTACCTGAGGCAAGGAGCCACTCTGCCTCTCGGGATCTCAGCATCCCTATCCATGAGGACTATGTGGAAGAATAGTGTACACAAAGCTCACGGCAAAGGGCCTGGCACACAGAAGAAAGGCTCCACAGTGCCAGCGGCCACTGGCAAGCACCTGGCAGATGGTACCCATATTCCCTCCCAGAAATGGATCATGCACTAGGATTCCAAGGCAAACCTCTGTTGCTGATACCCTTTCTCCCCAGGCCTGATGGATGGCTAGCAGCTGGGGACTCTTTTCAGTACTGGGGATTGAACCCAGGGGCGCTGAACCATGAGCAATATCCCCAGCCCTTTAAAAAAAAAAAAAAAAAAAAAAAAATATATATATATATATTTAGAGGCAGGGCCTCTCTGACCTGTTTAGGCCCCTGCTAAGTTGCTGAGGCTGCATTTGAACTTGCAATCCTCCTGCATCAGCCTCCTGAACGGCTGGATTACAGATGTGCACCACTGTGTCTGGTAGCACAGGGACTCTTCCCTGGGAAGAGAGAAACCTGTGCAGGGGATGAGGAGGATGGAGGAGGCACCCTCAGCTCCTGGAATGTTGGTGTTGGTGCTCTGTCTCAGCCTCCAGTGCCTTGCCTCACATGGAGACTAGGGCCACACCCTCACCATGGCCTGTAGGGAGTGTGACCCTATTGTCTGCTATTCCCATTGGCACCTCAGGGAAGGAGAGAACCTGGACGTACCCAGGACTCTCTGGACAATGTCGGAGCCTGGCCGCCTCACTGTGTACCAGCTACTTCCCCTCCCCTCCTGCTGCCACCCTGGCTCCTTTCATGCTGCCGTAGCCCATGCCACTCTTCTCCCTGGCGGGTCCCCCATCTAGGATGCGTAGGCCCCCAGGCGGGCTCCGTCTTTCTGCTGGGTTCAGCTCAGCTGTCTCCTCTTAGGAGAAGCCTGCGGGCTCCTCGGGGAGCAGGCTCTGGCTCCCTGTCCTCAGCACCGCAGCCAGCTGCCTCTGGTCTTCGGGACCCATGTCCACACCTAGCAGTCTGCAGGAGGTGCCTTCTCCCAGGGGTCCCACAGGGTTGTGACCTCCTGTTTACCAACGGTCTGTCTCATCTGGGCAGGGGCCCTGTTGGTCAGTGGCCAGCCTTGACCTGGGTGTCTAGACATGGATGTGACAAAAATGTGAAGGAAACATATATTCTACCCTCAACCTGCCACCTGTCCCCAACCTGCAGTTGATTTGTTCTGAGGACAGGGCACAAATCCCCAGACACAGCCCTACCTACCACAAAGCTACCCACATTCCAGACTCCTGCCAAGATGCCCCCCAGGCCAGCACTCTCAGCCCCTCTGCAAGAAAGACGCTCTTTAGACAGACAAACAAACAAACAACAACAAAAAAAAAGACACTCTGTTCTGCTGCACTTTGCACAAAAATGTATTTCTGTGACATCCCAAAGTACAGACATTTCCCCGGGCCCCAGGCTGAGAAAGCAATGCGATATGAGTGAGCTCTGCCCCGGTCTAGCTGGGGCTGTTGGGGCCTGGGATGGAAGGAAGGGGCCAAGGTGGCCATCTGCCTCACTGGAGGGAACAGGGGTGAGCCCCCTTCCCAGGGCCTGGAGGGAAAGACTCAGGGAGAAAAGGGCCAGTCACGTCTCCCTAAGGCTGCCTGGTCTGCTCTACCTGGAGGTAGAAAAGCCAGGAGAATCCAAAACAGGGCCAAGGAGGAAGGCCGCCTCCAGGGTTGGCTCTGCCCCAGGTCTCTTGTTCCCCGTGGCCCGCCACCCGTATGTCCGATGAGAAGCAACTCCGAGTTGGAGCAGGGGGTACACAAGGTGTGGAGACGCAGCAGCCTCTCATGGGGTCTACAACACAGCACAGAGGTTTCCCAGGTACAGCCTGTCCCAGTGCTGGTCTGGAGGTGGCTGCCTGCTGCCACTGTGAAGGGCTAAAGTGGGGACCTCCTGCCTCGGAGAGGTGTGGGGTCCTCTGGGCAGCGGGCAGGCAGGGGTGAATGAGGCAGGTTCAGTTCTGCTGGTGGGGGTGCCTGGGCACCTTGGGAGCTTATGGGCAAATGAGGGCTGTGAAGACTGGGAGCAAGGCCCTGGCCCCAGAAGGTGCTGGCTTCCAGAGCTGGGCAGGAATGGGATGTGTTTGGCAGAAGGGGCAGTAGAATCTGCCCCCGAGTTCTGGCCATCCCTGGGCTGGGGCCTTCAACAGCCTGGGGCCTGGTGGGAGACGCAGAAGCAGTCTCCATAGCAGCATGGCCGCAGCAGGCCTGGCCAGAGGGTGGGGCCTCAGGAGCGGGGCAGCCTGGCCCTAGGCCTGGGAGCTACTCACTGTCCTGCCCCTGATGGCCCACAGCTGGGAGCACCAAGGCTTCTGGGAGACCCAGTGGGGACAGTTTTAATCCCCACACTCCATCAGCCATGCCCAGGAGCCCAGTGGGGTTGTCAGGCCTGGGTGTGTGGCTTAGGATGCTGGAGCAGGCTGACCCACGCGGACTCCTCTCCAGACAGATGGGAGGCCGGCCAGGGTTGAGGTCACCAGGAAAGGATGGGACACTCACAACGTTAGAGGCATGTAGTCTGGCTGGGGTAGGAGTGAGTGTGGCAGCAATGAAGGCTTGGAGTCAGGGTGAGAATGGCCAAGGAAGTGGCAAGAATTCAGGGAGGTTTCTTTTGTTTTTGTACAGAAATCATACACACAAAACTTCACACTTCCTAACCAAAAAAATAATATATATATATATATGTATATATATATATAATATATATATCTCACTAATGTTAAGGAAAAGCGTCGGTTGTGCAAAAGTCCCCTCTGTCTTTGTCACGTGGGAGGCTCCTGGAGGGACCTGCCAGCTGGGCCACGTGAGGCTGCTCCGGGCCTGTGGTCCGAGCAGTGGTGTCTGCGGGCTGAGATCTCTATCTGGACGTGTCCATGTTCTCCTCTTTAAAGTTGCTGCAGTGCTCAATCACCTTGCTGCAGACAGGGGGGAGAGGGTTGGAGGGTGCGGTGGGTCCTGGAGACCCGCAGCTGGTCAACAGGGGCCATGCAGCGCTGACCGAATGAAGGGCACAGGGTGGATGGAGAAGCACCCAGGAAGAGGTTTCCCTGCCACGAATCACCCAGGCTCCCCTCCCCGCTTCCTCTGCTCCCGACCACCCTTAGCCCCACGGCACCATGGACAGCTCACCTCCCAAGCCCCCTGTCCCTCTCCTCGGCAGTACCTTCCTCTTTCCTCGGGTCTACTAGAGGTTCTCAAGTAGCTGCACACCCAGAAACCAGACGCTCTGTCCCGGCAGCAGGCCCAGGCTAGGTAAGGGCGCTGTGTGCTCCAGCCTGACCCCTGGGAACTGCTGCCCACTGCTGTCAGGTGCCACCTAGACCTAGACAGCTTGCCCATTCAACACAAAGCCTCTGGGCTAGGGGCTCCCTGCCGACTCCCCATGTTAACAGGGAACCCCATGCGCTAACAGGCCTCTTCAGGGGAAAGGCCCAGAGTGGGCCACGCAGGAGCGCTGAGGCCTTTTCCTGCACGCCCAGTTTACTGGCCAGGCTTATCCAGTGCTCTTCTTTTCCTTTTTCTTTTTTTAATTGTATCTCAAGGGCTGGGGATGTGGCTCAAGTGGTAGCACGCTCGTCTGGCATGCGTGCGGCCCGGGTTCAATCCTCAGCACCACATACCAACAAAGATGTTGTGTCTGCCAATAACTAAATAAATAAATATGTTAAAAAAAAATTGTATCTCAATATGGATGTGTGTGGATGTGTGTTTTTCAAATATCCTGGGATCTCTGTTTACTGTGTTTCCTAAATGCACTACAAAACAAAAAGGCCTTTTTTTGTAGGTAGGGGTGTACTGGGGATTGAACCCAGGGGCACTTAACCACTGAGCCACATCCCCAGCTCTTTTTAATTTTGAGACAGGGTCTCGCTAAGTTGCTTAGGGCCTCGCTACGTTGCCCAGGCTGGTCTCAAGTCTCTATCTCCTGAGTCGCTGGGATTACAGGTGTGCACCACTGCACCTGGCTGGGCTTGTCTATTTTATTTAAAATTTTTTTTAAGTTATACATGGACACAATATCTTTGTTTATTTGTTTTTATGTGGTGCTGAGGATCAAACCCAGTGCCTCTCATGTCAAGACAAGTGCTCTGCCATTGAGCCATACCCCCAGCCCAAATTTTAAACAAATTTTCCTCGTGATTTTTTGGGGAGTTAAGTTTGAAAACCATTCATTTCACCACTCCCAAACTCAAAACAAATCTGTCAATTAATGTTTAGGCAGCGCTTTCTCCAGAAACACTGGCAGAACCAGTTGCTGGCTCTGGCCGGGGGCGTCATTGTCTGGGAGCTCTGCGCACCAGGCCCAGTCTCTCCAGGTTTCCTTCTACTCTACCCCACGTTCAGAACTACAACAGGAGTCCACCGATGTAGACTGGACTGCACTCCCTTCTGGAAAGGATCTTGGAGATAGGAAGGTCGTCACGGCTGGTTCTGACACATACCACCCTTGAGTGTTTCTGGGACACAGGTTGATGGGAGAATCGGAACTGATGTTTCAGACCCAGCAATGGAACCTGCACAGCAACTCAAGCTGCTGAGTCTGGCACGTCCATGACCTTCACATCAACATGTCTGCGGTGCTGGGGTTTGAACCCAGGGCTCCACACACATTAGGCAAGTGATCTGCCAGTGAGCTGCACCTCCCGCCCAACAGAGGCAATGCTTTTTTCTTTTATCGTGACTCTCATTCACCTTCAGAGAAGTTCACTCGCCTTCTGCCATCTAATCGATGGAATGTACCTTATCACACTTTGTCCTTTTCTTTTACAATGTCTTTGGCCAAAAATATAAGTTACTTGGTAGTGCCTGGACATAAAGGGTGGAATTTGTTGGGACTGAAAGAAGACTAAGCTCACAAATAAGGGTAGCGGGCTCTACTCCGAGCTCTACCATCTGGTTTCCCAGCATATTGTGGCTGAAATGACCCTGAGTGGCCCCTGGGAACTTGGCTATTTCTAACCAGCAGAGGGGCCCACGGTGTCCCTCACGCCCCACATCAAGGCTCCAGGCAGCAGCACACTGCTGGTCTCTTACCGGGCCATTTCCTTGGTCTCCTGCCTTGCAGTTGCCATCTTGATCACGTCCCTCAGAAGGGGCATTCCACCTTCTCTGACCAGCAGGGGGCAGTACTTGTCGGCTGTGAGGTAGGGCAGACAGCTGATGGCAGGGAGGCTCTTTCATCAGCCTGTACCAGAAACCCACCCTTGCTTTGAGGACTACCTGAAGGGGGCAGCTAGGTGGAAGGGCCCTGCTGGGAGCAGGGACAAGCCACATTTGCCTGGCCTAGTGGGTGGAACTGTGTCCACCTGCAGGGCAGCAGTGACTCCCTGGAAAGACTTCCCTGCTATGCTTCAGTGTGGCTGCATTTTTTCCCCCAGTGCTTGTTCAGTGACAAATATCACCCAGAGCAGTGGCCCACACAGAAGGAGCTGCTGTGAAGGTTGGTTGATTCTCGCCAGCATCGCACAGTGCTGGACAGCGGGAGGCTCTGCTCTGAGGCCCAGTGCCGACCAGCTCTCCTAGTGCTCCCGGGGGGCCACTCTGCTCTCAGGGGGGTGAGTGGTGGGACCAGGAGCAGTGGGCACTCACGGTAGACAGACACGAGGTTGTACAGGGCCCAGGTTGCCCAGTGCTGGCTGACAGGAGAGATGCCCTGGGGAAGGAGGCGGAGAATTGGCTCAAAGGACCTGAGGAAGAGAAACCAAAGTCATTTCTGCCGGGGAGTGGGGGTGAAGCTTTTCTTGCCTGAGGCTTCTCCACCCTGAAGGGTCCTTAGGAGGAATAAGGGTAAGACGCCAGGGAGAAGCAGAGCGGGCCCTTACCTCACTGCAAGCTCCACCAAGGAACTCCCAAGAGCCCGAGAGGGAGGCAGGAGGCCACAAGTCGGGTGGGGCAGAAAGCTGGGGAGCTCAGCACAGGGGTCCAACGTGGGGTAGGGAGGGGAAAAGCAAAGTAGGAAGCAGAAGAAAGAATGACCGCACCTCCTCCCAGGGTCATGCGTGGGCCAACCTGAAGTTATGGTTCAAAAGCCCCCAAAAAAGGTACCAGGAGAAGCTCAGGGCGAGCACCCCACCCCACCCCACCCCGGAGCTCTAGTACTTGGGGCCTCAGCAGAGCTGCTGGTGTGATCCCAGCCCTCCACTGTGCGTGCCCAACGTATCCGTCCACCGGGACAGCACGGCACAAAGCAAGTGACTCAATCATACGGCGGTGAGGGAGACCAGCCTGGTCACTGGTGATGCTGTCACAGTGCAGTAGCAGCTGACGCCAGCGGGACTGGAAGGAATGACATGTGTGCCTAGAAAAGCTGCCGGAAGAGGGGGCCCGAAGGCCAGCGGTAGGGTTCCAGGGACCGCGAGCTTGATGCCCCATGGAGCACAGGCAAAGAGCACCAAGCGGCACAAGTGGTCCGTGTCCTCTGTGCCCTTGGCTGTGTGTGGCTGTACCTCAAGGAGTAAAAACAAAACCCCGTGGAGGACTAGGAGGAAGGCAGACTCTGGCCAGACCTGTGGGGACAACCTCCCGCCTGCACCTCCCGGGCCGCGCCGCACCTGTAGTTGATATTCCTCCGGGAGTTGATGTCCCAGCTCTGGATGGCTGCCCACATGCGCTCCTCCACCTCCTCCCGCTGCGGCTCACAGACGCCCCAGGCCTCGGGGCCGTCAAACATGATGTGGGAGAGGACACCACAGGCGTTGTAGGAAACCTCGATGCCATCAGCCTTGCTCTCCAGCAGGTTGCTGCCAGAAAGAAATGGAGCCCCGGTCCCTCTTCCCATACTGCCAAGGGGTTGCCACTTAGGAGCCAGATGCCAGGGTTACTATTTATTTCTTTGTCAGTTGTTTATACTCAGACTCCTTCTAAAGGGATTTGAGGTTACTTAAGAGAGTTACAGAGGATCATTTGAAGAAAGTTGAAAGAATAAGAAACACAGTACAGCGGGAAGGTGACATTTGTAACAGAAACCTAGGCCAGAAACAGTGTGGCAACTGAGCAGACCATAGTTCTAAGTATCCCGGCAGCCAAGGCAAAAAGGGAAAGGCAACCTGAAGACGCTGATGAACTGGGAAGTCATTAGCTGAGGCCGCAGCTCCTTCACCTCTGCCACATTCCCCAAGAGTCCCAGCATATTTCGATGCAGTTCCTGCTTTTCTGGGAATTCCTGGCAAAATGAGAGCCATTGCAGCCAGTTAGCACTTAATCACTTAGTTTCTGGCGCATTAACCTGAAAGCTTGCGGGCATCTATCTGGCCATTCCAACTAGACAAAGGGGTTACCACAGGCCTCCTGCTTTCCAGTGGAGCCAGGGCAGCTGGCACTCTCAATGAGGGATTAAAAGTGGAGGATCCTTATATGAGACAAAGGCTGAGAAGAGATCTGAGCTCTCGACAAACATGGTTCCATTTACCAAGGCTCAGAATATTCGTTTCTGGGATGCCCTTGAACTCTAGAGTGAGGATCAGAGCCTGCTTTTAGGCTGACAGATCGTCCTACTAGACAAAATTCTGTCCAGCTGATGCCATGATGGACTCCAGCCAGCGTGGGCAACCTGAGAAATGATGGCTGGGAAAGAAGATGGGGCTGGGTTTCCCATGGAGGTGGGAGGAGGGCCCTAAAGAGTCCCAGCCAGACCAAGCAGGTGAGGGGGGTCTCGCCCTGTTCCCAGCCAATCCTGGGCTGGGGGGCCCATGAGGTGGCCCGTGGGAGCCCATGAGGAGTGTTAATGGGTCTAGCCGGGGGAGCCTAGGGTCAGGAAAGTGTTGCACAGCCACCAGGGGCACCCGCACTGCAAGGTGGACCCTACCTTCAGACAGTCGAGGAAGAGCTTCATGCCATTGAAATTGAGGAACATCTCGCAGTTGTCAGGCGTCTCATCTGTGATGTTCCACAGGGCGCTCCAGGAAAACTCCATCACCTGGTCACACTGGGAGGAGGGGCAGGGCTCAGCACCTGGACAACACAGGGACGTCCCCGGGCAAGCCTTTCCCTCTGGGCTGGGGGAAGGGCGGAGTGGCTCCTGAAGACCCGACTTACTATCTTGTCCAGCAGCTTCTTCTGGATCAGCTTCAGCATAGTCTGTGGGTGGAAGAAGGAACTTGCCAGAGGGCCGGGCTCCAAACGAGCTTGCCCCCAGAAACCCAGGACAATGAAGAGTGGAGCTGGTGATCCATTCTTGACCAACACATCCCAACAAGATCAAATCTCCATATGGCCCTGGGAGGCTACTGGAAGGCTCAGGAGGCACGGTGCTTGGAACTTGGCACCAGGAAGCCCGGGTTCGGGTCCCAGCCCTGAGCTGACTTGCTGTGACTTTGGCCACAGCCTTCCCTCTAGTAGCCTGTGCTTCCTCAGCAAAATAGGAGAGGAGCTGGCTTGTCCTGGGTGGGGAAGTGCTGTGGACACAGTGACCCCAGACAAGCACCGTGCTTCTCCCTCAAGAGCTAGCTGGGCCAGGGGAGGGGAGGCCCACGTGGAACGTGCTGGCCTCATCTGACTGGGTGCATATGGGAACACCAATCTGGTCTGAGGAGGCAACAATGACTTGTAAAGTGGGACCAGATAGATGAGCAGCAGGGGATGGGAGAAGGGTGAGGAATCCATAGTCATAAGCAACATTCACCACTAAGAAATTCTTCCAGGAGCTGGGGACGTAGCTCAGCGAGAGAGACATGCTTAGCATGCCCAAGGGTCTGGGTTTGATTCCACAGCACCGGAAAAAAAAAGAAATGGGAGGAGGAAGTGCTTTCCTTGGTCTAGTCTAAATCCTTCCTGCCTCCATGTACCTTCCTCCCCACTCCTCACATCCAGCCCCAGTCCCCACCGACACGGTCTATGATGGAGTGTGGCAGGCATGGCTCCTCAGTGACAGGCAGAAGCAAGCCACACATACCACGACAAAGCCCATCTTGCCCACGGCTTCCTTGTGGTCATTGTCCACCTGGCAGACCAGGGCGTTGCACAGGTGCACGGCGATGCGCTGGATGGACTCATCCTGCCGGGTGGGGTTGAGAATGCTGAGCAGCAGTTCATTGACCCGGCGGTACTGGAACTCCAGCTCCTCGGGGATGCTGAAGTTGCAGAGGGTCAGGCAGCAGTTCCGCTGCACCTGGGCAGGGTGGGAGACAAACAGAGCAAGTTCAGGGGTGGACTCAGGAGCAGAGCTCAGGGGCAGGGCTCAGGGCGCTCTCAGGAGACACGAGGTCACCTGGGCTGGGTGGTCCAGGCTCTCTGGAAGAAATACTCATAGAGAAGAATGCAAGAATAACCATAAGTGCATGATTTTATAATTATAAAATGAACACACAGGTAGCTACCACCTGGGTCAGGAAACAACACTGCCAAAACCAAAAGTCCCCATGTGTCCGTTCCTGACCATAAGAGCTAGCCCCGCCCCCAGCCCAGGAAATCAGTCAATCTCTTTCTTTCTGTGGTGCCAGGATTGAACCCAGGGCTCCTACATGCTAGGCAGGCACCCTTCCACTGACCTACAGCCCAGCCCTTCTTATTTCTTCATCTTATTGCGTTTCTGGTTTTTTTTGTTTGTTTGTTTTTGAACCCAGTTCAATCCCCAGTACCACTAAGCTACATCCCCAGAACTTTTTTATTTTTTTAAATATTTTAGTTGTAGGTAGACACAATAATCTTTATTTTTTTGTGGTGTTGAGGATCAAACCCAGTGCCTCACGCGTGCTAGGCAAGCACTCTACTGCTAAGCCCCATATCCCCAGACCTTTTTACATTTTTTAAATATTGTTTTAGTTGTAGAGGGACACACATATCTTTGTTTATTAATTTATTTTTTATGTGGTGCTGAGGCTCGAACCAGTGCCTCAAACATGCTAGGCAAGAGCTCTGCCACTGAGCTATGGCCCTAACCCTTTTTTAACATTTTTATTTTGAGACAGGGGCTTGCTAATTTGCTGAGGCTGGCCTTCAATTTGTGATCCTCCTGCCTCAGTCTTTTAGGTCACTGGGATTACAGGAGTGCTCCATCACGCCTGGGTCTCCTTGCTCTTTCTGCTCAACAGTTTGTAAGATCACTTCATTGCAATATAGTATTCCATTGAATGGTACTCCAGTTGAGCCATCCATTCCTCTGCTGATGGACATTACGTGACTTCCACAGTTGGCCACTGTACACAGTGTACTGTACATGGCATGGGCTACTCTAGGGCCCACATGCCTGGTGGGACTTCTGGATCACACGGTGTGCATATCTTCAACTTTACTAGGTAATGCCCAACTTTTACAGAGTGGCCATGCTAGTCGATACTCCTAGCAGCAGTGTCTGAGGCTCTAGTTGCTCCACATGCTCAGTTGCTCTCCACACTGTCTGCAGGTTTACATGTAGTTTTACAGTGTCAGCACGTTTTCCTTACCATCTAATTTCCTCCTTTTTTTCTTATTAGGTATTGGATGTTCACCATAGTTTATTAAACACGTAATTTAGAGAACATAACCCTTGATTAACTTTTAGTTCTTTTCCTCCAACAAGCTTCTCTCTCTTTCTCTCTCTCTCTTTCACACACACACACACACACACACACACACACACACATTTTCTTTTGAGGTGCTGAAGATGGAACTCAGGGCTTCATGCATGCTAGGCAAGTGTTATATAACTGAGCATACCAACCCTTTTTAAAGTTTATTTTGAGACAGGGTCTCACTAAATTGCTCAGGTTGGCTTCTAATTCATGATCCTGCCTCAGCCTTGAGTAACTAGGATTACATGTGTGCACCCACTGTCCGCAGCCTCCCATTTTTTTCTTTTTGGTACAGGATTGAACCAGGGGAGCTTTACCACTAAGACACATCCCCAGCCCTTTTTTATTATGAGATAGGGCCTCGCTAAATTGCTGAGGCTGGCTTTGAACTTGTGATCCTTCTTCCTCAGCCTCTCAATCTGCTGGGATTACAGGTGTGTGCCATGGTGCCAGGCCCGTTATTTTTTTTTTTAATTTAAGAAAAGTTGAAATTATAAAAGCAATACTTATTTGCTGTAAAAATTCTTACTGCCTTACTGTAAGGCAGGCACTCTACCAACAGCTATATCCCCAGCTATATCTAGGTTTGATCCCCAGCATCACACAAAAAAGTTCATATAATGCTATCCGAGCAGAAAAGTCTCCCATTTCATTCCCCAGAAATTATCACTGTTAATGATAGTGCACATCCTTCTAGATTTTTTCCATCATGAAAATACAAACATATATTTGTGGGGGAGGAGGGGGACAATTTTTCATGTTGGAGCTTGGAGGTTTTTTTTTTTTTTTAATTGGAAATGGGGCTGGGGCTGTAGCTCAGAGGTAGAGTACTCGCCTAGCATGTGTGAGGCACTGGGTTCGATCCTCAGTACCACATAAAAATAAAATATTGTGTTCACCTAAAACTAAAATAAATATAAAAAAATAAAAATAAATTTAGTTGCAAATGGACACGATACCTATATTTATTTTTCTGTGGTGCAGGGGCTCAAACCCAGTGCCTCCCACACACTAGACAAGTACTCTACCCATGAGCCACAGCCCAGCCCAGGACCTAGGGATTCTACCATAACAGCCCATTGTGTGGCTGGACCATATGTTACTTTTCCAGTACCCTATTCCTAAAGTATTTTAGTTTCTTCTGATTTCTACTTAATCAAATAAGGGTGTACATAAATGTATCTCTCTGTGTGTATGTGTATTATTATTATTATTGGTGTTGGGGATTGAACCCAGGGGTGCTCTACAACTGAGTTATATTCTTGATCCTTTTATTTTATTTTAATACAGAGTCTCGCCAAACTGCTGACACTGGCCTTAAGCATCTGATCCTCCTGCCTCAGCCTCCTTAGTCACTGGGATTACAGTTGTGCACAGGGATATGCCCAGCCCCAGTTTCCATTTCTAACTGGATTGAAAAATAGATACCTTTAAAATTTTCATAGGTTCTTCCAATTGTCCCCCAAAAGACTGTACAATTCATCCCACACCAGTAGAAAGTATAAGGGTGCTCTGCACTCCTTGGTCAATGTTGGGTACCAACATGCTCTTAAGATTACATGTGATATCTTGTTATTTTAATTGCCATTTGTTTTATAGGGCTTATTTATTCATCTGGGAGTCTCCAATTAGATTTTTTTTCCCATTTTAAAAAAAACGGGGTAGAACACTTGCCTAGCACATCACATAAAAAAATGAATAAATAAGGGCTAGGGTTGTGGCTCAATGGTAGAGTACTTGCCTAGCATGTGTGAGGCACTGGGTTTGATCCCTGGCACCATATAATAAAATAAAAAAACAAATAAAATGAAGGTATTGTGTCCATCTACAACTAAAAATATAAAAATAAAATAAAATAATTTAAAACAAGAATAAATAAAAGATAAGGTTAAAAAATATTTTTAAAAATATATATCCCAGCCAGGTGCAATGGCGCACACTTGTATTCCCAACAATGCAAGAGGCTGAGGCAGGAGAATCACAAACTCAAGGCCAGCCTCAGTCACTGAGCAAGAGCCTGTCCCAAAATAAAAAGGGCTGGGGATGTGGCTCAGTGGTAAAGTGCCTGCTTTCAATCCCCAGTACAAAAAGAAAAGACATTGCTTTTTTTTTTTTTAATATTTATTTTTAGTTCTCGGCGGACACAACATCTTTGTTTGTATGTGGTGCTGAGGATCGAACCCGGGCCGCATGCATGCCAGGAGAGCGCGCTACCACTTGAGCCACATCCCCAGCCCCAAGACATTGCTTTTTATCTGATTATAAAATTGATCTTAATGTAGAAAGAACAATCACTGTGAAGGCTGGAGAAGTGGGTGTTCTCATCCCTGCAGAGGGTGTGTCCCCACACTGGCCTTTCTGGGGAACAATGTGGCAACAAATGCCAGATGCTTAAAAACACACACACACATTGCCTGTGCAATTCTACTCTAGAAATACATTATGATGATGATCAATTAAGTGAAGAGTAAAAGATTAAAAAGCGACCTAAATTTTCCACCATGGGGACCTGACTCAATAATTTGGCAGAGCCCTAACCTGCAAGCCTGTGGTATGGGGCTCGGCCAATGCCTCAATGCTCCCTTAGAGGCCATGGCTGACTGGTCACTCTGTGGAAAAGGACAGTGGGCACCATGTTGGGGTCAACAATTATAAAACTGAATTGTCAGAGCCAGCTGTATCTGGAGCTTGGAGCAGACTGTGAATGATTTTCAATTTCTAGACAATTCAGTCTTGTATTATTTGAGGTATTTTGTTTTTCGCTTTTTCTGTTTTGTTTTTGGTACTGGAGATTAAACACTAGGGTCCTGTACCACTGAGCTACATTCCCAGTTCTTTTTATTTTGCTAAGTTGCCTAGGCAACCCTTGAATTTGGAATCTTCCTGCCTCAGCCTTCCGAGTTGCTGGGATTACAGGTGTGTACCACTGTGTCCAGCAAAGATTTAATCATTTTTTTTTTTAGCATTAGATATCTTACTTTTTAATAAGAAAAGAGACACTATTTTAAAAAATTGTGCTGGAGGGCTGGGGATGTGGCTCAAGTGGTAGTGCGTTTGTCCGGCATGCGCGGGATGATGGGTTTGATCCTCAGCACCACATAAAAAATAAAGATGGGGCTGGGGATGTGGCTCAAGCGGTAGCACGCTCGCCTGGCATGTGTGCGGCCCAGGTTCGATCCCCAGCACCACATACAAACAAAGATGTTGTGTCTGCCGAAAACTAAAAAATAAATATTCTCTCTCTCTCTCTCTAAAAAAAAAAAAAAAAAGATGTTGTGTCCACTGAAAACTAAAAAATAAATATTAAAAAATTCTCTCTCTCTTTCTCTTAAAAAAAAAATTATGCTGGATGTGGTGGCAAAGGCCTATAATCCCAGGAAGCTGAGACAGGAGCATCCTAAGTTCAAGCAACTTATCGAGACTATCTCAAGATGAAAAATAAAATAGAGGGCTTGATGGTAGAATGCAGGTTCAATCCCTAGTATCCCTCCCAAACTTTTTTGTGGGCTGGGGATGGGATGTAGGTTCAATGGTAGAGTACTTGCTTATGTGCAAGGCCCCAAGTTTGATCCCAAGTACCAGGAAAAAAAAAAAAACTGTTAGGGTTGGGGATTTGGCTAGTTAGTGATAGAGCATTTACATAGCATCACAAGGCCCTGGGTTCCATCACACACACACAAACACACACTCTCTCTTTTCTCTCTCTCATACACACACACACACAAATGTGTTACAAGAGATGTTTGCTGACATGAGAGATGCTCACATTCACAAGACACTGTTAATGTAAACATTCATATTTTACGAATAGTACAGAGACTTTTGAAAATTACCCCATTTACTAAACACATATCCACAGACTAAAACACAGAACAATATGTATCCATTGGCAATGGTGATTATCTCTGGGTGGTGGGATTAGGGGAGATATTTATTTATTTATTTTTTAACCTCTGTAACTATAATTGTTGTATGGTGAAAAATTTTATTACTTTTATAAGAGAAGTAGCTAGTAGAAAGAACACATCAAGACAGAGTGTGCTGGGGCAGAAGGGGCAGAGACAGCAGGCCTGAGGCCCCCAGGCAGGAGGCCAGGATCCTTGGGCTCCATGTGGAGCAAAGTGACTGAGGGTAGACACTGTGGGTCATGGACCACTGATGGGGCTATGTTCTGGCGAACCTGAGTGCCAGATCCAGGAGTCAGAGAGGGTTGCCCTGGGAAGGGGATCTGGGAAGGAGGCACACAGAGCCAGGTAAGGAAGCACCGTGTCTGGGCCCAGGGGGCAGGAAAGGGATGCCTAGGCCAGGATGTGTGGGCTATGGTGGGCAGGGGGCTCACCGTCACCTCCTGGTAGGATTCCATGCCATTCAGCACCACCTGGATGACCTGCCGGCGCAGCTTGACACTCTGCTCTGAGCGATATTCGGAATTGGTCAGGTAGAAGAGTGCAGCGCTGCCTGTCACCTGAATGTTCTTGTCATATTTGTGGCACTTGAGGGCAGTGATGACCAGCTGTGTTAAGACAGGGTGGGGCCTGGGTTGGAAGAGCTGTGAGAGTTATAACAGGTGGGCACTAGGGGGGCTTGGCAGCTCCTCTGGGGCAGGCAGGCCTAGGGAGCGGGTTGGGGGGAGGGCAGGGCCGGGAAGAGGCCGGGGGAAGCAAGGCAGGCACTGTCGGGTGGGGTTGGGGTTCAGAAGGCGTGACTGGCTGCTCCCTGGGGATGCGCAGGGTCTAGAGTTTGGGGCTGACCTTCAAGGCCCTCAGAAGCTGATTGCAGCGTTCAATTCGTGCAATGTCAAAAAGCAGGTTGATGGCCCGCGAGGTGATCTCAGGCCGGTGCTCCGTATAGGCCTCGATGGCGTTCAGCACCTGCTCCTCATTTTTGTCACCACTTACCTGGGGATGGGGTATGCTTAGGACAAGCCAGAGGAGGCCAGGGTGGGACCCCAGATCCCAGCTTGGTTTCTGGCCCCAGACACTGTCATGCCCCACCCAGGGCTTCCCTTCTCCCAGAGCTCCCCCTCCCCCAGGCACCCTCCACTCCCCGCCTCTCACTTTGTAGGCGGGAATGTGTGTGAGGCGACACAGGGAGGTCTCAAAGAGCCCGAGGAACTGCAGTGGCCTCTTCAGAGCCCGGAAAGGCATGATGCTGCTCTTGGAAGGCTCGATGCTGGGAAAGAGTGTACTGGGATCAGTGGCTTGGGGCCTGACCTGGGCCTCTCCCCAAGAGTGGTTAGGCATCTACTTAACATTCTCTCTTCTAGGCACTCCAGACACTTCCTTTTTAAGTTTTTTTTTTTCTCCCTTTTAAGGGTTGGGGACATAGACCCCACCTCTTTTTTTTTAATACCTTTATTTATTTATTTTTATGTGGTGCTGAGGATTGAGCCCAGTGCCTCACACGTGCTAGGCAAGCGCTCTACCACTGAGCTACAACCCCAGACCTAGACCTCACCACTTGATTGAAGGGTGGCAAGGTCACACTGTAGCAGAATATGTGGGACAGAAGGTATTGTTGCAGCCATCCTTAGAATATACCAACTGCCACTCTAGTCAAGCTGTGCTGTCCTTAGGGTTCACCCTCAATTGCAAAGGGACAAGCTCATCAGGCAAACACCAGCTAGCTGGAACTGGCCACAAGCCAAAGCTAATTACAGGTGGCTGGGTTTGAAGAGACCTCTCCATCAAGCTACCCAGGAACCAACGCCTCTCCAGATGGGGGCAGATCCTGCAGCCTCCCCTCTTACCGTCTCTTATCACACTGTGCCCTCCCTCAGAACAGCTGGCGACTTCCCGGTCTCTCATGCTCTTGGCTGCAGCCTCTGCACACGCTGACCCCTCTGCGGAAAACTTCTCCTTTGGCAAACTCAGAAACTGGTAAACCCATTTCTCCTCCTCTCTCTTTCTTGACCCTCAGGGCCATAGTCCTCCAAATGTCTGTCCTCACTGACTTACAGACCAGAGTGGGCAGGTCTGATTTGCTTCTTCATCCCAGCGCCCAGCACAGCCCTTGGCAGAGGGGCCCTTAGTAAGTGCTTGGTGATCAGCTTCTGACCAGCAACCGCAGAGGTGGGTCCTACCTGGTCTGCCCAGCTTCCTCGTCCATCTTGGAAATGCTGCAGTTCTCCAGGATCATGTGACCAGAGATGTCCAGGGACATTAGGTTCCCAAGCTTTTGTACAAAGAGGCTCAGCACCTTCCGGGTCAGCTTGAACTTGTAGTAGCTGGAGAGGCGGTCTCGGGAGATGTCTAGGTGTCTGGATATTGGGTGGGGGGGGGGGCGCTAGGTCAGGACCCCTACTCCTTCAGTCCACAGCAGGGGAGGGCCCATGCCTGCCACAACTACTCCAGGACATTCTGGGAAAAATCCTGAGGGGACCCAGGTGCCCTCAGCAGTCCTCATCTGACTGAAACACTGGGCTGAGTTTAAGGAACCAAGCGGCTCTTGCATCCCCACCCTGGGTTTAGCCAGGGGCCCCTGAACCCTCCAGGATTGACACCACCCTCGTCCCCTCTGCCCTGCCCAGGGAGCTCAGGCCAGCAGCTCACCGCAGCTTGTGCAGCTGGACAATGACACGGATGTGGTCATCTGAAAGGTCCATGTTGTAGAGCACAAGGGACACCAGGCTGTCCTTCCACTGGGTTAGGAAGGCGGCGTCACTCGTCTGAATGCCTGAGAGGTCCAAGGCGGCCAGAGAGTTGAGCGGCCGTAGCAGTGACTCCACAGGGACCCCATCGATCATGCGGCCCAGGTTGAGGAAGCGCAGGCGGCTAAAGCCCTCGAAGGTGAAGTCCTTCACCAGCACCTGGCAGGTGGGGTTGACGAGGCACTCGTCTTCACAGCCCCCCGGGTTCTCCTCCTCGTAGAAAATGTTGGCACAGCCGAAGAGGCTCAAGGACACCAGGGTGTGGCTGAAACTCCGCAATGTCTGCAGGCTCTTGGCGGACAGCTTCTCACAATTGGTCAGGTACAGCTCAACCAGGTCCTGGGATCAGGCACAGCTTCATCAACACTAACACCCCCCCCTGCCCTCCAGGTGACTGGGGAGGGGCTCACACAGTGGGAAGGGCACCGGGCACTGATGGTTGTGCGGGAGGCACCCGGATCTGTCTCTGCCCTTTGTCTGACTCTCTCAGCCAACTTCCCCTATCCGTGACCAGTGCCCTGATGAGAACAGTCTTACCTGCTTGCGAATAGCCTCCAGATCCTGGTCCTGCACCAGGTCCTCACGGAGGTGGATCCTAGTGAGGCGAGTACTGCGGGGGTCGGAGAAGAGGCTGAAGAAGCTCTCGTGTGGCTCGAAGGTGCAGGCGGTATTGACCAGCTCCACATACCTGGGAAGAAGAAAACCTGGCTCCAAGAAGGGCCTAGGACCCAGGTCCTCCTTCAGAACACAAGCTCTTCTCTCCAAGAAGACTGGCAGAATCGCCCTAGCCGCCGCCGCCACCGCCACCGCCTCCTCCTCCTCCTCCTCCTCCTCCTCTTCAACCTGGCTCCATCCTGACTGCACTACAGGTGAGATTGAAGATGCCCCAGAAACCAGAGGTCTAATGGTAGCTCTCAGGGTAACCTAGTGATGCAGGGGCTTCAATCAACACAAAATCCCAAGCTCTTCCTCCCAGAAGCCTGAGCAACACCCCACCAAACAGATACCTGTGCCACCTCCCCCAAAGGACACCTGCCTTCACCTGCAGGCCTTCCCAGGACCTTTCAAACAGTGGATGAAACCAAGGGGTTTGGAGTGCCCAGCTGGGCACAGGGCAAACCCTCAGTAAGAGCCCACAGAGGCATCAGCCCATACCAGAATCCTGGGCTGCTGGAGGGGTTTGGGGCTCAACACTCTGAACCTAAATCCCGGCCTGCTGGCTCCCTACCTGGGAAAGTTCATATAAATAACTGAACTTCCCTGCCCCTCTGTTTCTTTATCTGTAAAATTAAAAGTAACTCTGGTTGGCAAAGTGACCAACCATGCCTGACCCACATTTTGCCCTCAGGACATCATTATGAGTCCAGCTCTATCCTCAGTTCCCTCACAGTTCCCATTTTGCTATCCAACTCTTTGGTCTAACTATTCCCCTTCAGGAAATTTCCTTCAGTTCAAGCAAGCTTCCTGGTTGAGCTTTATCTGCCTCTAGGAGCACAGAGCAATGGGGAGTCCCTTAAGGGGCTACATAAAGATTTTCTGGCCCTGCGCAGTGGTGCATGCCTGTAATCCTGGCAGCTCAGGAGGCTGAGGCAAGATCTCAAGTTCAAAGCCAGCCTCAGAAATTTAGGAAGGCCCTAAGCAATTTAATGAGACTTCTGTCTCAAAATTTAAAAAATGAAAAAGGGCTGGGGATGTGACTCAGTGGTTATGTACCCTTGGGTTCAATCCCTGGTACAAAACAAACAAACAAAAAATCAAAACAAAACCTTCTGGATGGTTTCATCTCTGGCCATGGATCCATTATTCTAGTAGCAGCCCATCAACCCATGTGTCCGTATTCACTTAATTCATAGGTGCAGACACCCATAGAAGTACACACACACGGGATAGCACATAACTCCTTCGTTTACACGTAGGCTCTTACACCATCTCATCCCTAAATGTACACATGCAATTTCATACCACATATGTATAAACACCCATTTCTTCATGTGCACATCCCTGTATACACATACCAACATGCACACATGCAAACTCTTACGCTTACGGATACAACACCATTCTCCTGCACCCACATGGTCCTAATATCTCTGCACAAACTCATGCTAAGACCCCCACCCTGTCCCAGCCCTGAGGCTTGCTCACTCATTGACCAGCCGGTCACAGATCTCGCTGGGCAAGAAGATGTCTGGATGTAGCCGCAGGGTCTCCTTATCCAGCAGGTAGCCCAGGGTGCCATCCAGGTTGCGTAGGCAGAAGTCAGTACAGAGGGTCATCAGGGACTCGGGCGTATCAGACGCCATGCTGGGAGCAGGCAGGTGGCCACTCCAGGACAAGTGCCCCAAGGGCAACAGTGACTCCCCAGTACTCAAGGGATCATTGGCAGAGCTACAGCCTGGAGAATGGGAAAGAAGCCAAGTGAACCATAGATAAGGGTCAGAAGCATCAGCTGCCCTATGTCCATTCTTTGAATAGGGAAACAGGCCCCCGACATCACACTCAAATTAGCAGGTTGGTAGCACTAGGCCCAGGACTCTTGATTCCCTCTTTTACCCATCTCTGCTGTGCCACAATCTATGTACAATCTGACCTTCAAAGAATGGGGGCCTTGGGCTGGGCTTGTGGCTCAGTGGTAGAGTGTTCGCCTAGCTTGTGTGAGGCACTGGGTTTGATCCTCAGCACCATGTAAAAATGAAATAAAGATACTGTGTCCACCTACAACTAAAAAATAAATATTTAGGAAAAAAAAAGAATGGGGGCCTTGTCCAACTGTTTCTTTGATTTTTACAATGCCTGTGGGTGGACATCTGAGTTGAGGACCACTGCTTGGGAGGGGATAACAGGGACCTTCACCATCTGCTTCTCAAGACCCTAACTGCTACAGCAAGGTGACCTGTGTTGTGGGGTCCTTCCTCATCTATGTAGAGTTCCCTCTGCGGAGAACAGTGCCAGGGCTTCACAGACACAATATCTTCAAATCTCATGGTATATGACTAAAAATGGAGATGCCTCCCAAGGGAAATAAAATATATATGTTAATGTCAAAACTTGTACATGAATGTTCATAGGAAGCATTATTTGTAGTAACCAAAAGATGGAAACAACTCAAATGACATCAACTGATGAAGGGATGAACAAAACGTGCTTCATCCACAAAAGGCTGAATATCACTGAGCCATAAAAAGATGAATATTATTCATTCACAAAAATACTGATGTAGCATTGGACCTTGGAAGTGTTATGCTAAAGTCAGGTGTGGTGGTGCACACCTGTAATCCCAGCTGCTTGGGAGGCTGAGGCAAGTTCAAGGCCAGCCTGAGCAACTTAGTGAGACTCTGTCTCAAAATAAAGAGTAAGAAGGGCTGGGGATGTAACTCAGTGGTAGAGTTCAATCTCCAGAACCAGAAGAGAAAGCAACACCACTACCGCTGGCCGGCAGTACCTAGCATCGGCCAAGACATGCAACAGCGGAAGTCCACTGTTAGTGGGAGTGTAAATCAGTGTGCATGGGGAGTGCAACGAAACACTGCTTAACACTTTACTGAAGCTGAATATACATATGTTCAAGGTTCAGCAATTTTGCTCCCAGGTAGATAACCAAAGAGATGAACATTTGTATGTGAACATTCACAGCCACAGCACCATGAAATGGCCCCAAACAGAAAAGGACCTGGATGTCCACTGAGATTGGGATAATATTGCATATTCACCAGATGAACTGCACTGCCATGAGAATCACAATCTAATTAATAGCTTGGATGGACTTCACAAGTAAAGCAGCTGGACACAAAAGTATACATTATATCAATCCATTTAGGTATCACTCCTTTAAATTCAAAACCGCAATCTAATCTGTGGTTCCTTAGATGGGAAGAGTGACTGGAAGCAGGTTTCTTTTCCTTTTCTTTTTTGCTTTGTTTTGTTTTTGGTACTGGGAACTGAACCCAGGAGAGCGTCACACTGAGTCACATCCCCAGCCCCTTATTTTTTATTTTGAGACAGGGCCTTACTAAATTGTGAGGATGGCCTTGAACTTGCAATACTCTGGAAGAGGGTTTCTATGGTGCTGATGAGCTTGTAGCCTTTTATTTGAGTGCCGGATACAGACATATTCACTTTGAATATTCCTGAAGCTATATATCATTCTGTGTGCACTTTTTCAAATGTATAATTCAATATAAAGGTAAGAAAATGGTCTGGACACCAAAAAGGCATACGCTTAGAAGGGCAGGAGGCCTGGTGCACACCTGTAAACTCAGCAACTCACAAGGCTCAAGCAGGAGGATTACAAGTTTGAGGCCAGTCTCAGCAACTTAGTGAGGCCCTGTCTCGAAATAAAAAATAAAAAGGGCTGAGGATGTAGATCACTGGTAAAGTGCCTCTGGTTTCAATCCCCAGTACAAAAAAAAAAAAAAAAAGGAAAAAAAAATGGAGGAGTTGGTCAAGTGATAATCTAGCTAATAATGTACTGATCACCACTAGAGACTGAACAGTCACATTTAAATTGGTTGAACAAGAACAATTTCTAGCCAGGCATGTCGGTACATGCCTGTAGTCCCAGCCATTCAGGAGGCAGAGGTGGGAGGATTGCTTGAGCCCAGGAGTTCAAGGCCAACCTGGGCAACATAGTAAGAGATCCCTCCCCCCGCAAAAAAGAAAGAAAGAAAGAAAAAATTTCTAGGGGCCGGGGCTGTGGCTCAGTGGTAGAGCTCTTGCCTAGCATGGGTGAGGCACTGGGTTCGATCCTTAGCACCACATAAAAATAAATAAATAAATAAAACAAAGGTATTGTCCACCAACAATTTAAAAAAAATTTTTAAAAAAAGAAAGAAAATTTCTAGAACCTAGGACAGTCAGGAGTTAAACCCTAACCAACATTTTCCTATTAAGTCTGTATCAAAGAGGAGGAAATAAACAAGCAAAACTAGTCTACAGTATTAGAAGTCAGGGTGGTATCTACCTTTACAGGCAAGCAGGAATTAGGTGACAGAGTGGCTTCTGGGACAAGTGTGTTCGCTTATGGAAATCCATCAAACTCTGCACTCACATTTTGTGTGCCTTTTATTATGCATGTTACACAGTGGGCTGTCTGTATCCAGAGGTTCTACAGATTCAATCAAACGTGAATCAAAAATATATATATTTTTAATTGTCTGTACTGCATGGAACTTATACAGACTTTATTCATGTCATTATTCCCCATGTAAGACAGTGTAACTACTTACTCAGCAAGTGCATTATAGTATGTATCATAAGTAATCTAGAGATGTTTTAGAGTACATGTGAGGATGTGTATAGGCTTTCCACTAATGTTATACCATTTTATGTAAGGGACGTGGGCATCTTGGTATCCAAGAGGGGTCCTGGAAGCAGTCTCTGATGAACACTGAGAGATGACTATTTTAAACAAGTTTTTAGGGTGTTAGGGGTACAGTGAATGAGGACCTGGGTTTGATCTTCATTACCCCCAAAAAAGTTTTTAAAAAACTGCAGGTTCTGTGGTCAGACAGATCAACGCTTTAACTCCAAAATTTACTAGTGACTTATTTAACACCTGTTTCCTCAGGGCTGTAGAGCAAATGAGACAATGCTGGGGACATGTGTAGTACCAGCTTGATGCAAACAGAACACAACATATGCTGGTTACAACCCCTGTCACAGATGGGGAAACAAGCTGGGAGACAGAGGCCAGTGTACAAACGGAGGCTGCAATACATTGTGGGCTCCGCAGCCAGCAGTTCTGAGCTCAAGCGCAGCACCACCACTCACCAGTGACCAAGCTGGGCAAGTGAAGTTGGGTGGACCTAGCTCCAAGTCTCAGCCTTGTCACATAAGAGCAGGTGGACCTGAGCAAGGGTCTTCCCCTCTCTGTGCTTCAGGGTCTTTTTCTATAAAATAGGGTCATAGTCCCCTACCCATAGTACCGCATGAAGATTACGTGGAATAATACAGACAGGACCTTGCATGGTGGCTGCAGGTAGTAATTACTCGATAAAAGAAAATCATCCTTATCATTATTATCTTTGCCGTCTCCTACGCCATCTGCCTGGCCTCCACACAGAACAGGGTCTGTCCCAGCCCAGCTCCAGCCTGGGGCTGCCAGGCCTGGGCCTCCCACAAGGCCCATTGTTGTGTCAGCTGCCCCATTGGCAATGTGACACCCTTAGGGAAGGCACCAGAAGTGGGCAGCCTGGATCCCAGGCATGTCCATCCTCTGCCTTCATTGGTTTCTGGATCTTCAGGACCCAGCAGCTCTCCACTGGGAGCCTGGAACCAGGAGGCCCCACCCTGCTGGGAACCAGCAGGTCCAACTCTTCCAGCAGTCACTTAAGGCCTCTGGAATTAGAACCAGGTCTCTGCCTTGCTCAGTCTCCTCTGACCCCCTATTCTGACCAATCTGGCCTCCTTCACTGGACTGGTAAGACACCCTAGGCCCAGGTCACCTTCAGACCTTTGCTCAGTCTATTCTCTTTCAACAGAATCCATCCAAATTTAACTCATTATGCCACTTTCTACTCTAAATACTGTTTCTCTACCCTCCATCTACATACACATTCATGTCCTCCCTTCAGAAAGCATCTCCTGACCACGCCAGCCCATCCTACCTCCAAACTCACTTCTTATTTAGCTGATCCTATGACCCAGTGCCAAGGGTACTTACTTTGCAAAGCCATCCCTGACCTGGCAGGCTGCTCCTGCTGCGCATCCTCCGTGGGCCCTGCCCCAAAGCTAGATGAGTCTAATCATTTAGTTTCCTTGGCAGACAGCAGCTCATGAGGGTAGGAAGTTGGCAGCCTGTTTGGCATCATGTCCCTGGGCCTGTGCACCCAACAACTCTCTCCTGAGTGCTATGGATCCAATAGTAAGCAAACCAGGCCATATCCTTACCCTCATGGAACGTTCTAGCTCTGGGGGGCTAGACATCCACCTAGGAAGTACATGAATGCACCTCACACAAGTAGGCCAGTGTTCTGAGGCTCTGCGGAACTAACTAGGGGCCCTGCGGGACTAACTAGGGGCCATGCTCTAGGCTGGAGAATCATGGCAGGCTCCTTTGGAAGTCACAATTCAGCTCAAAAGATGAGTCCTAGTTAATTCTGGTAGTGAGAAAAGAGAAAGATGTTCTAAGAAGAAGGAACAGATGAGCACAGGCTAGAAGCGGGGATTGCAGGATTGATGCTATGGGCTCTGGCCCAGGACTGCTGGCTAAATGAACAAGGGTGGCACTGGACACCCAATGCGGGGCCTGATACCCAGGACAGTCTCAACAAGTGTTCATGGCAGCAGCGATGAAAGCCTCAAAGTCTGAGTCCCATGAAGTTGGGAAACGGTCCACTGCGCCCAGGACCCTGCTGGCCGCTCAGTGGCTGCAGGTGGAGCCTCGCGCCTGAGTGG